TGGCAACCCTTTCCAGGGTTTTCTAGGTTTAGATACTCAATAGTGATTTACCATCATTTTCTTCTGGGAGTACTCTGAGACCGTGCAGCTTATCCAAGGCGACACAGCTGGCGGCAGCAGCAAACAAGGAAAAGTTCTGGTGGTTTTACATAAGGCATGTTAGGGATTTATGGTTCATCTCCACGTGAAACTGGGGTTTACCTGTTTTATAATCTTGGAACTGCAGAATTGGCAGGGACTCTATAGATCATCAAGGCCAGTCCCTGTCAGGGGCGCTCAGTGGGGAATTGAACTCCCAACCTCTGGCAAACTGCTGTCATGTTGCTGGGCAAAGCGCTCCTCTAGAGTTCCCAGGTGTCAAGTGTCAGCTGAAGATCTGGGGGACTGCTGTGCCTCTGAAGGTCTCCAGGCCATGAAATAAGCCACAGGCCATGTGGCACTGAAGAAGAGAACAACTGAATTTGGTTTGTTAAGGTGGTTTTACATTGTGGGTGCACATCTCTGCCCATTTCCAGCTAGCATTGGAGTTTACTGACTCAGCATGGATGGGCTTCCACAATGTGGGCACAACAGAAAGCTGGGCACAGTGGAAAGTCCCGATGCATTTGAAGCAAGGCAAGGAACAGAGTGCCTCGTGCTTATTTCCACAGTCAGCTGCCCTATTAGCACCTCCAGCTCTCTCCCAGATGTTGTCTGCTCCTGTGTGCTTTTGACCTGGCAACACCGTGGGCATCAGGGGATGCCATAACCCAGCAAGGGAAAGACCTTCAATCTGCTGTCCGCATATTGCACACATATTGTGATTAGGTGGGTAGTAAGTAGTGGCTTGCCCCTAGAAGGGTGGTTTATTAATGTCATTCTATTAGCACCTCCAGCTCTCTCCCAGATGTTGTCTGCTCCTGTGTGCTTTTGACCTGGCAACACCGTGGGCATCAGGGGATGCCATAACCCAGCAAGGGAAAGACCTTCAATCTGCTGTCCGCATATTGCACACATATTGTGATTAGGTGGGTAGTAAGTAGTGGCTTGCCCCTAGAAGGGTGGTTTATTAATGTAAATAAATAAATAAATAAATAAATAAATAAATAAATAAATAAATAATTGTGTTCAGCCAAACATGGTTACAATCACAGGGCAAATGTTTCTTTACAAATGGGACTGTGTGCGTTGGGGTTCAAGGACAGTATGTACATTTATTTCCCTTTAAACACCATTGTATTTCTGAAGCCTTGCAGAGCACCTTCAACTCTCTGTCCCTCCTCTTAACTTAGTATCTGACAGGAGTTTTTGCTCAATTCTTCTCTGTCAGAATTAGGAAAGTTGATTAGATCACTGGTTCTTAACCTTGGGTTACTCAGGAGTTTTGGACTGCAACTCCCAGAAGCCTTCACCACTAGCTGTCCTGACTGGGGTTTCTGGGAGTTGCAGTTCAAAAGCATCCGAGTAACAAAGGTTAAGAACCAGATGATAACCTGCAGAATTCACCACCTCTCTACCAGCATTGTATGGTCACCCATATAAGTAACTGTTCCGAGCTTAGTTTTATATAGATGTTTGAATATTTGGTCCCCATCCTATCAAACCTATGTTCTGGCCAATATTCAAGAGTGCTCAGGTGTTCAAAGAGAAAACAAATAATGATTAGGTTTCTCTTTTCACATTTAGTTTTCAGAGTACCTTTTTCATTGCTGAGGAGAATGGTGGACATACTTTTCGCTGTTCCATCATGTTAGGTCATTCTCTATGTTGTGGCTTTGAAGGAAATAAATGAAAACTCGGCTATTTCAGTCTATATGCTGTGATTTTCTGTAGACCCTTCATCTTAACAGTCTTCATTGTGGAAAATTAAAATGTTCTTTTAGCTCTCTGTAATGCCAAAGAAATGCCACAATATTTTATTTATCCCTAAGGATGTGAAGTAGACTTACCTTGCAATGTCAGGAAAAAAAATACAACTTATTTATTTCATCACCATTTAACTGCAGTCTAGCACTACAGAATCCAGCTATTGCTGTGGCTTTCCTTTCATTTTGGTGGAGAGGGGAGGAAGCAGGATTGATACTTATTTTTTTTATTTTAAAATTATTTTCCCTTGCACTCTTGGTTATTAATGCATTATTCAGTCTCCTTTCTTTAATAACGGCTTTGGGTTGTTCCATTAGTCACTACAGTTATTACAACACGAAAGGTCTAATTCATCAGTATTTGATTTGCACAGGCAGAGCATAAGGATCATCTGATTCTTTCATGTAGAGGAAAATAGCTGCCATCTTGGCAGAAATGTAGAAAATTCAAGCAAACATGACATAGTACAGGGATCTGAAGTGGCTTACAAAATAGTTTTAAAACAGATAACAGCTAACTTATTATAGCTCAGTTAAACATATTACCATATTAAACGAATCACTGAACTGTAACCCTGTAGGAACAATTTAAAACCACATTAAAAGTAAGAGAAAAAAGTATAGAATCTGTCACTGAAAGCGCCAGGAATGGGGACTCTCAAGTCATGACTTGCTGTCAAGTGGGACTTAAGTCCACCAGTGACTCAACTCGGACTTGATTTGAGCTTTTTTTTTAAGGACTTTGACTCAACTCCCAACTTGGACCTATTTTTCCAAGTAGTGTTTTGAAGTCCCTATTAGTTTAATGGAGATCTATTCTTTTAATGGAGATGGACCTTTTGTGAGTCAGTCTGCCAGCCCACCTATTTATTTTTCAGGATCTCAGCCCTTAACACAAAACCAAACCCATTCCTCTTATTCATTTCTTTTAAGGTGGCCACTCCTGCCTCTTTCTTTCTGCCTCCTCTCTGCAATTATTTATTTACCTCACTCTGGAACTGCCAGCCCACCTCCCAGTAACGGGGCACACTTTGCCTCAGGCCTCCTCGGCCTACCTATCCCATCATGCACCATTTTGCTCCTCTTAGCATTCTCTTGTTAGGCAAATAACGTGGAGGCCAGAGTGATCTATCCAAATTTTATGAAATGTGTGAACCATCAAGCTGTGGGGGAGCTTTGAAGGTGGAGGGTTTGCCCTCCCCCTCCGACTCACCATTGGGCCTCTTGGGGGTAAGGTAAGACCTTTGGACTCCCCTGGAGGGCTAAACCGGACGGGGGGAATTAAAAACTTAGGACTTGGACATGATCTGGACTTGTATTTGAGACCTGGACCCAAAGACCAGCCAATATCCCTGGAAAGCACTTTCTTCAGTTGCTATGTAACTACTCCTGTTGCTAACCAGGTTAATATAACTTTCAGTATTGATTAAAGTAACTGAGTGGATAATCATAGTGTGACGAAAATTAAGCAGCTGTATGTTGCATTGCCTAGATCTTGCTTTTATCATACCTGAGCAGCAAAGAGAGAATGGTATGCAAAAACATCACAGAGGATAAATAAGAGCTTATGTCTAAGTGCATTTCCTTCATTACACATTATTACCCCAAAATGCTGGTGAGCAGAAAGGCGCTGAGTGGAAATGTCACTTTCTGACATAATCGAATCCTTTTAGCAACTGGGGAAAAACCAAACAAACAAACGACAAAGATAATTATATTTTTTAAAAAAAAACTTCTCTAGAAATACATTTTTATAGAACAATTTTGTTAGACCAAAGGGCAAAATAATGCATCTTAGAAAATGTCAAGGAAAAAAAAATCAGCAATAAACACCATTGTGTTAAAGACGCATTTAGTTTCCCTACCAGCAACGTGTGCCCAATGATCTACATTTCTGTATTTTTTTAAAAAACCCAGGATATTCAAGGTGCCATTTAAAGGTGATCTTTATAAAACATATGCATGACATAATAAAGCCAATTAAACAATGAATGTGCTTATATAATACGTTTCACTCCCTCCCTTGAAATTTTGGCTTTATTAAGGGGAAAAAAACCACACACCTCAATAGGAGTCTACTGAACTCAGTAATTAGCAAGCAGCCTGACATTTACCAGTTTGAAATGACAAATCCCAGGCATTTTAAAACATTGTTTTCCCCCTCCACTCACTTGCATATATAAGCACGTTAAGCTCAGAGGGAAGTTAACAGGCAGCCTTTGATATTTTTTGCAGTAGTCACTGTCGTATTTTACAGTGTCTCATCCAATATCTTGGCTGTAAATGTTGGCAAGACGAATGCCTCCTTGGAGAATTTTGGTTGTTTCGAATTGCAAACTAAAGCCTGAGCATGTTTTCTTCCCCCCGCCCTCCCCCGGAGGTTGCAGTCTGCGAGTATTTAAACTGAATTTACCGAGGCTTACAGTGGTATTCAAAAGGAGCATGAAACATCTGGTCCCTTTTTGTTCAGGTATGCTCTGACATAAAACAACCCACTTTGCTTGTCCCCTTGCATAGGAAGAGTATGTGGCATGTTAATGTCTCTGAGTAAAGGAAAATTTTAAAACAGAAGGTCCCAAACTCTTAACAATAACTGTGTGCCGTCAAGTCAGTTCTGACTTATGGCGGATGTTTTCAGGGATTTCTAGGTAGAGAGTACTCAGAAGTGATTTACCATTATTTTCATCTGGCACCATCCTAGGGTTGCACACTTCACTTTAGGCCACAGAGGCTGACCCCTCGGGGATGCACAATGTGGTATTGAACTCCCAACTTCTGGTTCCTCAGCCAGATGCTAGAACTACTGAGCTATCCAGCGAGCTCCCCAAACTCTTACCAAAAATTAATGTGTATACAGTGTACACATTTACTTCATTTTGGTATTGTTTTCAAGGAACAAAACAGTATATCATTAAAAGGCATTGTACCGAATACCGAACAACAGCTGCCTTGCATAACAACAACACAATAACACAGAAAATTAACAAATTGCATGGGTGTCCGTGGGTCAGAGGTCTTTAGTTTCTGCTAAAGGGGTTTTATCCTTTCCTACTAGCCAATTAACAAAGCCTTCCTCCCCACTGAGGCTTGCCCCTCCTATTCTTGTTTCTGCTTTCATTGTTTGTTTTGATCTCTTTCTGCTTCCTTCTTCTTTTGACCATGCAGTTGCATGGGTCTTTCTGTCTCTTTCAAGAAGGTTGAGAGATCCAATCTCCCTTTTATCTTTCATATTTCTGAATGTAACTGAAGGCTACAGACTAGGTAAAATACATGTTGGACTTTGTTATAAGATTGAGTACTGTACAGTATGTGTGGAGCAGGATTACCAGCAAGACCTTTGCAAAGTAGATTGTTCCAGCTTCCTGGCCTGGGAAGAGGGTGGTTTTGAGGGCAACGAAAGGTCATAGTAACAGTCAAGCAGTCTTTTAAGGGTTCAAAAACAGGCTTGCTTTAAAGAAAATAATGCAGTGACAGTCCTCCAGAAAGGGGGACATTTTGCAGTGTATCTCCAGGGAATGAGTGTACAATTTTGGAAGGCGTATTCAGAGTATTTCTAAATTACAAAAACACAGTCAGTTGTGTTTATCCCAGCCCTTTCAGTGAACATTCTCTCAGGATTTCTGAGATCGGGAATCTGACATGTGTTTTCAAAGGGGAAATAATCTTGAGGTCTGGGACAATTTGAACTTTCGGGTCCTTTTAAGGAAAAAAAACAGGGTATAAATAAACAGATAGAAAAACAAACAAATCAACAAACATTTGATTCTGTCATTCAAGACCGAATTAGTTGACTCTCAAGAGGAGAACTTTTTAACTCCTTCCTGACCAAAAAGTCAGTTGTGCTAGGAAAGGGATTCTGTGACTGGTTGTACAATATTTTAAGAGATATTTTAAAAAGAATAAAGAGAAAAAATACAGAAGCTCACTCATTTGAGCTGTGAAATTACTGTTTTTTGCTTGGTGGGTGAGAATGGCCTTATTGAATTTTAGGAGAACCTTGTTGCCTATATCCTCTCATACTTCCAGCCATTCCATCCCTCTTGCCACTACGCAATTGTATGGTAATAATAATTTAAAAAATCAAAACTCCAAAGATGTTATATGCCAAGTTTCATTGCGTCTCATGTTGAGTCATTCTCTCATTTTTTTGCCCTCCTCCTAGCAATATTGCCTTTTCCATTAAGTTCTTCTTAGGCTTTGCAAACTAACAGCTGTGGCTTTGTTTATTGAGAAAATGTTCTCATGTTAGGTCTTCCTCTCTTCCTATTGCCATCCCCCAACACCTCCAACGTTTCCTAGCAATATTGTCTTTTCAGGTCAGTTCTTTATTCTAATAATGGTATGATAGCCTATGGTTCAAAATTGGGGAAGGAGTACGACAAGGCTGTATATTGTCACCCTGCTTATTTAACTTATATGCAGAATACATCATGCGGAAGGCTGGACTGGAGGAATCCCAAGCTGGAATTAAGACTGCAGGAAGAAATATCAACAACCTCCGATATGCAGATGATACCACTCTGATGGCGGAAAGTGAGGAGGACCCAAGCCGGAATTAAGATTGCCGGAAGAAATATCAACAACCTCCGATATGCAGATGATACCACTCTGATGGCGGAAAGTGAGGAGGAACTAAAGAACCTTGTAATGAGGGTGAAAGAGGAGAGTGCAAAAAACGGTCTGAAACTCAACATCAAAAAAACTAAGATCATGGCCACTGGTCCCATCACCTCCTGGGAAATAGAAGGGGAAGATATGGAGGCAGTGACAGATTTTACTTTCTTGGGCTCCATGATCACTGCAGATGGAGACAGCAGCCCCGAAATTAAAAGACGCCTGCTTCTTGGGAGGCAAGCAATGACAAACCTTGACAGCATCTTAAAAAGCAGAGACATCACCTTGCCAACAAAAGTCCGAATAGTCAAAGCTATGGTTTTTCCTGTAGTGTTGTATGGAAGTGAGAGCTGGATCATAAAGAAAGCTGACCGCCGAAGAATTGATGCCTTTGAATTGTGGTGCTGGAGGAGACTCTTGAGAGTTCCCTGGACTGCAAAGAGAACAAACCTATCAATTCTAAAGGAAATCAACCCCGAGTGCTCATTGGAAGGACAGATCCTGAAGCTGAGGCTCCAGTACTTTGGCCATCTCATGAGAAGAGAAGACTCCTTGGAAAAGACTTTGATGTTGGGAAAGTGTGAAGGCAAGAGGAGAAGGGGACGACCGAGGATGAGATGGTTGGACAGTGTCATCGAAGCAACCAACATGAATTTGACACAACTCCGGGAGGCAGTGGAAGATAGGAGGGCCTGGCGTGCTCTGGTCCATGGGGTCACGAAGAGTCAGACACAACTAAACGAATGAACAACAACATGATAGCCTCAGTTTAATCAGTTTTGCTCTACAAAGATTTGAGGCTTGACTTGATGAAGCATCAATTTTTCTGCTTTTCTTGTGGTCTGTGGTATTCGTAAGGCTCCAACTCCACATTTCAAATGATTTGTTTTTTCCCCCATGTTTTTCTTCACTGTCTTTCTTTTACATTTTGTTGTTGTTTAGTCTTTAAGTTGTGTCTAACTCTTCATGACCCCATGGACCAGAGCACGCCAGGGCCTCCTGTCAAATTCATGCTGGTACCCATCACGTCCTCTGTCGTCCCCTTCTCCTCCTGCCTTCACACTTTCCCAACATCAGGGTCTTTTCCAGGGTGTCTTCTTTTCTCATGAGATGGCTGAAGTATTGGAGCCTCAGATTCAGGATTTGTCCTTCCAGTGAGCACTCAGGATTGATTTCCTTCAGAATGGATAGGTTTGTTCTCTTTGCAGTCCAGGGGACTCTCAAGTGCATCCTCCAGCACCACAGTTCAAAAACATCAATTATTTGGCGGTCAGCCTTCTTTACGTTCCGGCTCTCACTTCCATATATTGCTACTGGAAAAACCATAGCTTTGACTATGCGGACCTTTGTCAGCAAGGTGATGTCTCTGCTTTTTTAGATGCTGTCTGGGTTTGTTATCACTTTCCTCCCAAGAAGCAGGCTTCTTTTAATTTTGTGGCTGCTGTCCCCAACTGTAGTGATTATGGAGCCCAGGAAAGTAAAATCTGTCACTGCCTCCATGTCTTCCCCTTCTAGTTCCCTGCCCCTTCGGAATCCAGCTTGTACTTCTGGGAGTTCGCGGTCCACATACTGCTGAAGCCTACCTTGTATGATTTTGAGCATAACCTTGCTGGCGTGTGAGATGAGTGCAATTGTCTGGTAGTTGGAGCATTCTTTGGCACTGTCCTTCTTTGGTATTGGGATGTAGACTGATCTTTTCCAGTCCTCTGGCCACTGTTGAGTTTTCAAAACTCGTTGGCATATTGTGTGTAGCAACTTAACAGTGTCATCTTTAAATATTTTAAATAGTTTAACTAGACTGCCATCACCTCCGCTGGCCTTGTTGTTAGCCATGCTTTCTAAGGCTTACCGTATTTTTCGCTCCATAAGACGCACCGGACGTTAAGACGCACTTAATTTTTAAATACCAAAAATTAAAATAAAATAATAATATATAAACAGAGCAAGTCCCACACTGGGACTGCCAAAAAAAATCACCAAAACACAAAGCAACATAGAAACATGCCCCCCAGCCCAAATCTACCCTCCAAAACCCACCCAGAACATTTTTTAAAAAGTAAAAAGCAGCAACTAATTTTTAAATACCAAAAAA